AAAAAAAAAAAAAAAAAAAAAAAAAAAAAAAAAAAAAAAAAAAAAAAAAAAAAAACCCTCATTGTCAATGATGTCAATAGCCCGTCACTTGATAACTATGGGCGACCAAAGATATTTGTCAAATAGTTCTTTTTTATTATTGTTTCTTTTGTTTTATTGGATAATACACAAATCATAACATTTAAAATCCTAAAATGAAAGGGAGATCAAGAAGAAAAAAGAAGAAGAAGAAGAAGAAGAAACTACCAATTTTACCCTTTTATGAAAATAAACCAAAACATACGCAAGGGCGACAAAGTTTGAAAAGATGTTCCACTACATAAAAGTATTTCGTGAGATTTGGAGCAATGATGGGTTGAATTTCCACGCGGGTTTGAATGCCAAAACCCCACAAATTCAAACGTTGAAGCGGAGACTTGGAATTCCAAAGCACTGTGGACTCCTCAATCATGTTCATCCACACCCTCCTTTTCACTCAGGTCCTCCTCGTCTTCCTCTTCCTCTTCCTCTTCCCTTTCAATCCATCACTCTTTTCTTCACTTCACACCATTTTCTTCCCCCCTTAAACTCCATCTTCATCCCCTTCTTCACTTCCCTCTCAATCCAATTCCATCACTAACCATTTTGCGACAATCAATTTCCCCGATCACCGCTACAAATGCTGCGTTTATGCCCAGCTTTGTATCCCCTGTTCTCTTTGTTCTTCATTTCTTGCTTCCCCTTTCTGAAATCTGAGCTCCCTGCAACTCAACGTGCTACCTTGCTTCATCTCTCTAAGCTTCTCGGTTCTTGGGATGTCGACAAGAACCCTAATCCATGTTCGTGGAAGGGGGTTGGATGCAATTTTGATAATTCCTCTGTTACTAACATTACTCTCTCTGGATCTTCCCTTTCTTCCGACAACGTTTTGCCTGTTATTTGCCAGATTGATACTCTACAGGCACTCGATGTCTCACAGAACAGCTTGAATCATATTCCGGAGAAATTTATCGAACTTTGCGGAGCGATTTCTGGGTTGAGATTGCTGAATTTCAGCAACAACAGGTTAGTTGGTCCTTTGCCTTCTTTTGTTGGGTTTAAGAGGCTGGAGATCTTGGATTTGTCTTTCAATTTCATAAGTGGAAACATTGATTTGCAGTTGGATGAACTGATCAGCCTTAAATCTTTGAATCTTAGTTCCAATATTTTCAGTGGCTCTCTTCCTACTAAAATTGGAAGGAACAGGGCCTTAGAACAGCTCCAGCTTTCTAAGAATCAATTTCGAGGGACAATCTCAGAAGATATTGTTGGATATATGAACTTGACATTTATTGATCTGAGTTCAAATTATCTTTCTGGGTCTCTTCCTCTGCAAATTGGGAATCTCTCCAAGTTGAAGTTTCTTCTTCTATCTGCAAATAAGTTCAGTGGAGAAATTCCAGAAAGTGTGTCAAGAATCAGCTCTCTTGTGAGATTGGCAGCTCACGAAAATAGATTTATTGGTAATCTTCCTATTGGGATAACAAATTATGTCAAGAATTTAGATCTTAGCTACAATAACATCAGTGGTTCCATTCCATTAGGGCTCTTATCCAAACCACAACTAGAAACTGTGGATTTGTCTCATAATGAATTAGAAGGGCCTATTCCTGGAGATGTATCTTCCAGTTCTATCTTGGTTAGGTTGAGACTGGGAAGCAATATGTTGAATGGGACAATCCCTGCAACATTTGGAAAGCTTCAGAAATTGATGTACTTAGAATTGGACGATAATAAGCTGACCGGTGTGATACCTAACGAGTTAGGCGCTTGCAAGATTCTGTTGCTGTTGAATTTGGCTCGGAATAATCTGGAGGGAAGGTTACCATCACAGTTGGGGAATCTTCAAGGTCTTCAAGCCTTGAGACTTGAATCCAATAACCTGTCTGGAGAACTTCCATTAGAGATTATGCAACTAAGAGAACTGATGATTCTAAATCTTGGTTGGAACTCTCTCAATGGTTCGATACCACGTTCTATATCGGTCTTAAACAGGCTTGTTAACTTGAATTTACAGGGTAACTATTTCGTTGGTGCCATACCTGATACGATTCATGAGATGAGTTCATTGATGGAACTCCATCTGGGTGGAAACCAATTAACTAATCCAATTCCAAAAATGCCAGAGAAGTTGCAGTTTACTTTGAATCTAAGCAGCAATCGTTTTGAAGGGCTGATTCCGAAGTCTTTTGTTGGACTTACTAGCTTGGAAGTGTTGGACCTCTCAAACAACCAGTTTTCTGGTGAGATTCCTGCGTATTTGGTTCAATTGGTATCATTGACAGAACTGAGCCTTACTAACAATCAGCTCTCTGGCGTTATTCCTCCGTTTAGGACATGGGTTTTGCTCGACACGAAAGGAAATCCAAATCTCATCCCTTATACTACTACGCCAATTGATACTTCTCCTCCTCTTCGAAAGAAGAGAAAACCGATCATTGTGGCAATTGGCGTTGTGGTTGTAGCTTTGTTTATTTCTGCTGCATTCGTAATTTTTATTTTCGTCATGACAAAACGTTATTATAAGGGAAATGTCCATGATTCTGAAGGGGAAGTTCCTCCTACTACAATGGTTATTCAGGGGAAACTATTGTCTCTAAATGTCATCCACCGCTCAAATATCGACTTTTCTGAAGCCATGGAGGCAGTGTCTGAACCTTCTAACATTGACATGAAAACTCGGCTTTGTACGTACTACAAAGTTGTCATGCCTCGTGGATCAAGCTATTATGTCAAGAAGCTCAAATGGAATGACAAAATAGTTCAGCCGGGAAGTCGGGATAAGTTTGGGAAGGAAATGGAGGTCCTTGGGAGACTTAACAATTCAAATATCATGACTCCTCTAGCTTACGTTTTGACCACTGAGAGTACTTACCTATTCTTCGAATATGCTCCGAAAGGCACCCTTTTTGATAATCTACATGGTAGCTTGGGAAACGTCCTTGATTGGTCGAGTCGATACAGCATAGCTATAGGAGCAGCTCAGGGTCTCACATTTCTGCACGGATGTGCTTCTGGTCCTGTTCTTCTCCTTGATTTATCAAGTAAAAACATTTTTCTCAAGTCTCTCAAGGAGCCTCAAATAGGTGACATCGAACTTTGCAAGGTGATTGATCCCTCAAAGAGCACCGGAAGCCTTTCAATGGTTCCTGGTTCTGTTGGCTACATTCCTCCAGGTAAATGAACTGTTGCTTTATATTCAAAAATCAAAACTTGACTTGGCAGGTCTATTATATCCATTGTGACTACTATTTTTGTTCTTATTTGTTTTTGGTGTGATTGCAGAGTATGCTTACACAATGAGGGTATCACCGGCTGGCAACGTCTACAGTTTTGGAGTGATTTTACTCGAATTACTAACGGGAAAGACAGCAATTAGTGAGGGAGCCGAGTTGGTGAAGACTGTGTTGGGTTACCACTCTAAGCAGAATCAGAAACGGGAGCTGCAAATTCTGGACAACAGTATCAGCAAAACATCACCCTACGTTCGAAGCCAGATGGGTGCAGTCCTTGAAGTAGCTATTTCATGTGTGTCGCCTTCACCCGAATCAAGGCCAAAAATGAAGACTGTCCTGAGAATGCTCCTTAATGCAAGATAAAATAGACTGCTTCTGCATACTATGGAGGACTGGAAAACGGCTGTGATAATCTTACCTCTAGCTATCTAGTGTGGGTTACCTTTTGAGTGTCTACTTTATGCAAAATATAAAGCAATAGAATAGAAATATGATGAGTCTTAATGTTGTAATATGTTAGAGTTTGTATATTTATCTATCAATAAGTATGTATATGTATGTATATATAAATGTTTGAAGGCTAAAGATCAAAGGAAAACAAGAAGATTAGGGTTGATATTTTCTAGATATTTTCATTAGAAGTAGAGTATTCAGCGGCTACTTGGGTGAATGAGAAAATGAACTTCAAAATATGACATGTAGAGTTGAAAATAAAGAGAACAAGTCCTACACTGACCTTATTATAATGAGTTGGATAATACAACAAAAGCCTTTCACTATGCACATTGAGAATGAGCTTTGGTGCAGCAAGAAACTCATGCAAGCTTGCTACCTGTTCATCAAATGATACAAAAACTCGAGCAAACATATTAAATAAATGTAGCCTTGTAGGTGATGGAACAAATCTACAATTTTGTCTATCAAAATTGTGCGCAATGCCAAAAGAATGACTTCGTTAAATAAGTTTATGAATTCCATGTGAAAATAAGCTCATTTCCAAGAAGGTAAAAAAACATAAGCAAATTGTTCATCCTTCAAAATTTTGCTTCTATTCTTCACAAAACATGGGCAACACACTCAGAAAATAATTTCTTACTTTCTACCACTTCGGGGAGATTAAATTTAAGTCAAATTCGTGTGAAAAGATACAAGTCATAAGAAGAAAAAAAACTAAAGAGAATAAAGAGGGGGTGGGGGGGTGTTTATGATGCAAGTAAAACTATTGTGTTAGACCTTTAGGGTCCTCAATGATTTTTGCCAAGGTTTGCAAGAAAGTAGCAAGATCCGAACCGTAGATTACACGATGATCTGCTGTTACATTTACCTACAAATTTTCGAGATCCAAAAGATAAGGATTCATAGGCCTACTGTGAAAAATATACACTAAGAATAATCTGAGTTTGTTACCTGCATTTGGTTTTTCTTGCCAATCCGACCATCCTTAGTACCTACAACTGTAGGGATAGATGCTCCGACTGCCATGATTGCTCCCTATATAAATGAGGCTCCTAATATTAATAACTAGGCCGAGAGAAGGGTACATGCCAGAGAGGTACCCTGGTGAAACAAAATGGGGAGAGAAAAGTAGAAGAGTAACAAAACTAACAGTTCCGGGTGGCAGAATTGCATCAAAACGATCCACACCGAACATTCCAAGATTAGAAAGAGTGAAGGTACCTGCGCAAGAAAGAGGGGAGAAATAAGAGGAGACTGAAAGTGCATATAGATCTCTGATGAACTTGAAAATGCAACAAATAATGGTAAAAGTGGAATTGTAACCAAGCTACTGTGAAGAATGGTACTCTGAGCCAGGAAAACTACACTTATTAAACCAAATTTTACGTATTAAATCAGAATTCCTTCTCACAAGAATGAATAAAATAAAATAACTTCGCCAGTAGAGATGAATGCAGGTGAAGTAACAATTACTCCATATTGAAACAAGTTTCATTTATGAACTAATCCAATAGTACCAGTGTTGTATTCCTGAGGCTGCAGTTGCTTCGCTCTGGCCTTGTCAACCAACTCTTTCCACTTTCTAGACAAAGAATAAATGTCCACCTAAAACACATATCAAATATAAACAATCAAAGATTAAATAATTAACATATCATTTGAAAGGCAACAGAAAAACTTAAGGAGACTAAGATAACCTTATCTGCATCTTGAAGCACTGGTGTGATCAAGCCACCATCAATGGCCACGGCAACTGCAATATTGATGCTGCTATTATAAGTAAAGCTCTTACCATCCCTACAACTAGAATTTACTATAGGATGTTTAGCCAGTGCTAGTGCTGTAGCCTTTGCAAGTAACGCTGTCATGGTCACGCCCTTGGATTTAATCTAAGAACCATAAATCACCACCAATTCTTAGCAGGGCAAAAGCAAAATTCAAATTCAACCCTATTCTAAAGAGAGTTGTATCAATTTCGAACTAGGAAATAATTCTAACTAATAGCATGTCCAACATTTATCTGTAAGGCAGATTCATAGTATTAATAAACACGATGATGGTCTCCCAATCAATTACTTTACCTTTTTGTAAATAGCATCAAGCGCATCTGTTGTAATGGTATACCCCACTCTGAATGTGGGAACTGCAAGACTTTCAACCATGTTCCTACTCACTGCCCCTTGCATTGTGGAAAACGGTACAGTGGTTCCCAACTCCAGGGATGGCGGCGGCTGCACACTGCTTCCTGGAGCCGAAACTGACCTAGCAGCATCAGATTTCAAAACAGCTGCAGAAGCCGCAGCTTCTACATCCTTGGCCACAATTCTCCCCGATGGCCCAGTCCCCAGCACTGCCCCCAACTCCACATTCAACTCCTTAGCCAGCTTCTTCGCATACGGGGACGCCACAATTCTCTTCCCTCCTTCAGATGCAGGGTGAGTGGAAGCCACTACCACCGAAGCTGGCTTAGCCGCTGCGACCGGCGCCGCCGCAGCACCTACATTCTCAGGAATCTTCTCGGGTGGAGGTGCGGAAGGCGGAGAACCAGATGAAACATTGGCAGCTCTAGACTTAGCCTCAGAAATCTCATCCTCAGTCTCAGCCAAAAACGCTATTGCAGATCCAACAGGCGCAACGCCTCCTTCATCGACCATAATAGCAGCGAGATAGCCATCATAGAAGGTCTCGACGTCCATGTCGGCCTTATCGGACTCAACGACGACGACGCTCTCGCCCTTGGCGAGCTTGTCGCCCTCGGTCTTGATCCAGGACACAATCTTGCCCTCGGTCATGGTGGAGCTGAGAGCAGGCATGAAGATCTCACGGATCGTGGCATGGGGCTGGAGAGACCGCCGCCTGGGGTGGAATGGAAGCTGGAGAAAAGGCCTCCGGCGGAGAGATGGGGAGGAGCCGGCGACGAAGGAGGTGCGGAGAAGATGAGCCATTGAAGCGAATGAAATCTAGAGAGAGAGAAATGGAAAATGGAGGGTGAGTTTGTATGAAGGAAGCTTGAATTCTTGAACTCATCGAAATTGGGCGGAGGTCTCAACCACCTTACCTGCAAACCAAGACATTTTTTTTTTTTTTCTTTTTTTTCTCCTTCATTTTTTCCTAAAAAAACATGGAAATTATGGATGAGGTATTATTTTCATATACCATCAAACTATTTTTATTACTAAATTACAAACAAATTGATTCAAATCTCAAATCGTTTATGGAAGGATTATCTGCTCTCAAATAGCTCGGTACTAATGTGAGTAATGTGATAGTCTGTCACACTATGATAAGGACCCAAATATCTTTGGGAAGACAGTAAAGATCATAGGGGTCATGGTAAGTTCAAGTTCCCTTCAAAGGATGATTAGAGAGAAAGTCACACTAAGTTCAGGTTCCCTTCAAAGGATGATTAGAGAGAAGGTCACACTGGCACTTGCAAGTGTCATCATAGGTATTAAGAAATTTCTGTTATATCTTTGGACCAAATCAATGTCCTATAGAGTTTAAGGATCTGGCGAACCAAGTGTTCTTAGAACAATCTTGATACGGACAACATACCATCATATATCAACATGGAGGTAGATTATGAGGATCACCAAAAGAAGACCCTAAATGGTGTTGTGAAAGCACTAAACCAAATTTATGCGGTAAATCCTATGAGTTGCAAGTGTTACCTTGCATTTTCAATAGATCCATGAAAGGCATTGGGTGTCGTATAGGCTTGGTATAAGCTTCGTCGTGAAGACATAGCAACTCAAGAAAGAAAAATGGACATAAGAATGTCTTACTTTGGAATTTGGGAATAAACAACTTTTGTAGATGACAATTATAAAGGAGAGAATTTGTAACACTCGATTCTCGATGGGAATTAAATTTTCAATTTTCTTTTAAGTTTAAACTTCTGAAATTTTATTGAGGAATAAAAGAAAATTTATTTTGTCCCCCTTTCCTAACTAAGGGTCGTTAGTGCCATAATCAATATTATAGAAGGGAAAAAGAGAAAAAATGATGGGAAATCACTCCAACAGGTAGATAAAGTTAGAATTTGGCCGAACTTCCTTCACAACAACCATTCAGAAGGATGAAAATATCGAGTTTGGATGTTTGATTTGCTCAAATTCATCAAGAAACGATAAAGTTTGAGCGGTAATAATTTTAGGTTCTTGTTTTCAATTTTTTCTCAGATTCGACCGGCATAAAAAAAAAACACAACCTGCTTAAAAAAAACATGTCCCGCCTTTTTTACTAATTTTGGACATGTTTATTTCATACTATAATTGATTATAAATTAGGATGTGTTTGCAGAGGTGTATTTTAGATGAAAGAATGAAAGTTGATGGAAGTTAGTTGGAGAAAGTTATGAATATTCAAAAGAAATAGAAAAGAATAAAAAATTGATGGAAGATTTTGGAAAAGTGCGGACGGGAAGGGGGTGGAGACACGCGTCAGATAGCAAGTGCATCAAGCTGTGCACATTTCACATGTCAATGGACGAGAGGAGAAAAGCGTTCAATGTTTATCGGAGACAGGTGTAACAATTTCGACCTAACTTGCGCGTCCATATCCAACCCAAACCTCCCGCTCATGCTTCAACCCAGTTCACCACTCGCGACCCAATTTGTTTGCCTAATCTAACTTGATTCGCAAAGTTTAGTCTACATGCCCTACTTATCGACACGTCTTAAATCGCATAAATTCCTACACTTTCGAGCATTGAATGCACGTCATTGTATTTAAACTATCCAATCAGCACGTGCCACATGTCGCACAATCGGCGTGACTCTCCTATCCTAGGCGCGTGGTACTCGTACTCAAAGGTCTCACATGGTGTACCCCCTTACTCGCACCTGGGGGCGCGTGTAGGGTAGATTTTGCTTCGACCTATTTGTTGTCTAGATCGCAATACTAACCTTAATTTTGCTAGAATTAAGACTTAGTAAAGAACTTTCATAAATTTTGGAGCTCCTAACATACGAAAAAGCTAGCTTAAGACATGCGTCATCTGTGTAAGTAGTCACATAAACTTTATGCTAGTAATACTTGTAGAGATCAGTAGAATGTGCTAGCATACGTACATATCATTCTTTAGGTGGATAGAAAATGCATGTTTA